CATTAGTTGACTGAGATTTTAGTAGGTCTTTAAAAGTAATTACGTATGAGTCCTTAATCTTGTCTTTAAGATCTGTTACCAGAATTGTATTTAGATCACACCTGAGCAACAGCTCTGTTGTATATATAATAATAAGACCATATTTCTGGTCTGACATAACAGCAAGGTCAAGAATCCTGAGTTTGTAATTAAGCATTTGAGTCTAGTAAGTTAATTTATTTGGGTATAGTAAGTTTCTGTAATATGTTAAATATGCCTTTTGAGTTTTATCCTGTAGGCATCTTGTTTTGAAGAAATCTTGATTGAGTCCCTGTTGTGTACAAGTACTAAGAGTGGTGGGGAAGAAAACAGAGTCTGTGCTGCTATGGAACTTATGTTCTAAGGGGGCAGACATCAGGGATGCAGCCTTCTTGATACAGATCCATCGTGTCCTGGTCCTTCTTATTATATCTCCATATATGACATGCATCTGCCTGAATTATCGCACACTCACTACTCTGTGACAGCACAGCAAGAGAGAGGCAGGGACATCTCCATTCTTTGGCAGACTTTATGAGTAGCTCTAGAGGTGCTAGGTCTTACCTCTTAATCTATAAGGAGGGGTTTACAAGGGCCTCAGCATCATGAATCCTTTCAGGGAGTCTCAAATTTTTAGCTGAAGCTTGAATGGCCACATATCCATCTCAATCCCACCTGTCCCTATCTGACTGCTTTCATGTTCTTTTCTACCATCCCCATCGGTATTGTCATGTCAGCTACTGAATTACTATATTGTTCTACATTTTTCTTACAGCAGATCCCTTGCCTGGGCTTGAGGAGAAACCACCAAACATTGGTGCTTCAGAGGGGGTGTACCTCAAACAGCTACCTCACCCTACACCTCCATTGCAGACCGACTGTACCAGGCAGAGCTCACCACAAGAAAGAGAAACAGAGGGCCCAGAGCTCAAAAGTGACTCCTCAGAATCTGGAGACAACTGTAAAGCAACAAAGAGCAAAAATACCTGGCCCCTGGAGAGCAACTATACCAGCCCAGCCACCCAAGGTTGTATGCGAGACCTCTCCACTCTGGCAGATAGAGGGGCTCTACCGGAAAATGGAGTAATTGTTGAAGCATCCCCTTGTGGATCAGAGGGGAAGGGCCTTGGTGGTAGTGGTTCAGAAAAGCCACTCTGCCCCAGAGGCAAAACGCTACAGGAAGCCATGCCGTGTACAAGACAGAACCCAGCTACACCTCCCAACACGGACCCGAATCTGATGGGAGGCACTGTAAGCCAGTTTTCCCCCTTGTACATGCCTGGGCTGGAATACCCAAATTCAGCTACACATTACCACATCAGTCCAGGCCTGCAAGGTTTGGGCCCTGTGATGGGAAGTAAACCCTCAGTATCCCATCCTCAGCATTTCCCCCCTAGGGGCTTTCAATCTAACAACCCTCATTCTGGAGTCTTTCCCCGGTATCGCCCCCACCAAGGAATGAGGTATTCCTACCAGTCACCACCTCAGCCTTCATATCATCACTATCAGCGAACTCCTTATTATCCATGTCCACAGGGCTTTTCTGACTGGCAGAGACATCTTCATCCCCCGGGAAGCCCAAGTGGGCTCCCACCTAATCCACCCCCCCCACCAAGGCCCCTCTTCTCAGATAAGAGCACCTTGGCTAATCTGCAAGGCTGTGAGACACTGAATGCTGCCTTAAGTTCCCCAACCCAAGTGGATGCGGTGGCTGCTAAAGTCGTCTCAGCTGATGGACAGAATCCTGGTCCAGAGGAAGAAAAGCTGGATGAATCTATGGAGAGGCCAGAGAGTCCCAAAGAATTTTTAGACCTGGACAACCATAATGCAGCTACCAAGCGGCAGAGCTCATTGTCAGCCAGCGAGTATCTTTATGGAACTCCTCCTCCACCTCTGAGTTCAGGGATGGGATTTGGTTCATCTACTTTCCAGCCCCATGGTGTGATGCTACAGACAGGGCCTCCTTACACACCTCAGCGGCCAACCAGTCATTTCCAGCCCAGGGCCTACTCTTCCCCCGTGGCTGCTCACCCACCTCACCATCCAGTGGCTGCCCAGCCCAACGGCCTCTCTCAGGAGGGCCCCATTTATCATTGCCAAGAAGAGGGCCTGGGTCACTTTCAGGCTGTAATGATGGAACAAATTGGTACTGGAAGTGGAATAAGGGGACCTTTCCAGGAAATGTACAGACCATTAGGGTAAGATTACATTAGATGGTTTCCTTGGTTTTTGTTTCTTTTTTTCTGAGAAAAGAATAGATGTTAGTTTTAGAAAGAAAAATGGCCTTAGAAATGAAGGTGATAACCTTTAGTGGTCTAGGTCCAAGGAAGGCATGGGAATCATTGATAATTGGAGACTTAATGGAAATGTTTCAGCCTTAGAGTCCAATTTTATCTTCGGCATTTTCTTCCCTCGTGAAAGTGAATTAGCATTTAAATGAGTGTTTAGTTAGATTTTGAGACTGGAAACTTGAGAGCCATAGGCAGAGGTGTCAGCATTGCTGCTAATAAGTTCAGATATTCTGATCAAGGTAAAATAGGTCTCTCTCAAACCCTGAGGTTGTGGGAGATCATATGTAATGTTCAGGTTTTATCCCTTACCTCTCATTTCTTCCCTTAACACTGAATAAAGAAACAGGTTCATCTAGAATTAAAACAAGTCAAATACAGTCCCCATGAGAATTCTTGCAAATGGTGGAGTTTTTAAGACTCAGTGAGGTGATCTGTGATCCAGGAGATTTTCAAATTAATAATACATAAAAGATGGTTAAATAAAGTTGTTTACATTAAAGTTATGAAGCCTTATCATAAAACCAGTACCATCCAACTTAAAAACTAATGTGCCCCTCTTCAGTGCCGGCCTAAAACCGTATCTCCAAAACCTCTTCCCCATTTAACATTTTGACATATTTTTTTAGACTTCACTAAATATGTTTATGTTTTGTTTCTTTGTCTTTTCTTTTAAACCATTGGGAAGTGAGTTGCAGACTTCATGACTGCATGCATCTGCTAGGAATAACGACGTTCTCCTGGAGCACAATCTCAAACTATCATTCCACCCAGGGAAAATAACACTAATAGTGTTTAATATAGAGTCCTTATTTAATTTCTCCAGTTGTCCCCAAAATGTCTTTTATAGCTATGTTTTTTTGTTTTATCTTATTTTTTTTTTCCACCCAGGATCCATGTAAGGGTAATGTATTTACATTTGGTTGCTCTGTCTAGTCTCTTAATTTACATGTGTTCTATCATCGTTTTGTTTCATTTTGTTTTTCAAAGATTCGAGGCTAGTTCCCATGTACGATGTCCCAGATTTTGATTCTTCTCATTGTTCCCTCATGTTTGAAGTCCAGTTAAACACACGTCAAGAACACTACCTAGGCGGCGTCATGTACTTCCTGCATCACATCTGGAGCACAAAATGTCGCTTTGTCCCAATATTGATTCCAAATTTGATTACCTAGATAATTACGGCAGTGTCTGCATGAGATTTTCATGATTAAAGTATCTCTTTCCTTTCTAATTAATATATCTTCATTAATTCTTAACTGTTCTTTCTTGTGGCTATAGGATGCAAATGCATCCAGTCCAGTCACAGTCCTCGTTCCCAAAGACCCCAGCACCAGCAGCATCCCAGGAAGAGCTGCCACCACATAAGCCCCCAACACTTCCTCTTGATCAGGTAAAAATTACCAAAACCAGAACTTTTGTCATTCTTCCAGGTGGCAGGAAATAGTTCATTGTGAGTTTATCGTGATTCTGAGAAAATCTTTTAAGGTGTCCTTTTAATAGAGGAACTTGAACTGGAAAGTGCGTCCTGTCCTACTGGCAACCAAGGTAAAAGGGCCACTCAGGCCCTGTGCTACCAGTGGATTCAGCAGTGGGAAAAATCAAGAGAAGACCGAAGTAGCTTCTGTATTGTTTCCATGTGTTTCTCTTCTTGTGGTAACCAGCTGTTTGGGGATTGTTCAAGACTCATGTTTCCAAACTGGCCACTATCATTTATTTTGATATGATAGCTTTGTATTTTTTTATCCTTTTCCATCTATTTCATCTGAGAGAGACAAGGCAGTCAGGTTTTTAAAAATAGCTCCCTTTGAGTGCTGCTTTTGTGCCAATTACTGTGTTCTGACTCCCTCCATGCACTATCTCATTCCTCTCTTCCCTGACCATTGTGAAGTAATTGTCATCAGCTACATCAGTATGGTTCCCTAATGTGCAGGGAATCCTATCGCACCTGAGTGATGAGGTTGGGATTTGCATGCAGAGGTCCGGAGCTTGAGAGCCCACCCTCTGGAAGTAAACTGACAGCTGAAACAAAACCAAGCCATTTTCTCAGATGGAGAGGAACATGTACAGCTCTTTGGCTTATTGAATTACTTTAAACAACACAGTTGTTAATTTTGTTTAAATTGTCTTTATTTGCTTCTCTCAGAGCTAGTCCAAGGAGGAAATAAACCCCAAGGAAACAGAAAGCTGCACATGAAGACTGGAACATGGAAAATTTAGGGAAGCGATCCCTGCCCACCTCTATTCCTGTTAGCCTGCCACACCCCTTCACAGTGCATCCCATCATGCCGTCCAAGAGCTGGAGCCATTCCCGGAGCCCTAGAAGCATACTCTTTAGACTAACACCAGCTTTGCAAAGGTCCTTGGTTGGGGATCTCTTGTATGGCTGATGGTCAAGAACAAATGAACTGAAATTAGTGATGGCTTTTCTAAGTCCTGAGACTCTTGTTCAGGGAAAATCATCTTAAACTTGGGGGAGAGGGTCACACTTAAGAATGGAGTGGTGCTTGTAAACTTTCATGAGCAGCTAAACTCAGGTATATATTTGGGGAAGGGACTACTTGTAGTATTAATGTGTTTTGGAGCTGGGTCCAGTTTACAGAATTTTCATGTTGCCTTTTAAAAATAATTTTTGTTGTTGGTGGTGAATGTATTGTACATAAGTGGGAAGGGTGGGTGGGGATGTGGAAGAAATGGAAGTCCTAAGGATGGTGGGCAGGCAGCACTGCAGTGATCCTTATCTGTTTACAATCATGTCACACTGAATACTTTTGGGAGCTGGAGAAGAGGGTAGGAAAAGTTTACTGTAGTAAATTGTCATTGTTTCCTCAGTGGTTAACCGTCCTTTGTTCGTTAAGGGCCTTCTTTCCAGTCAGCCTGAAAGGTACCGTTGCACTGCCCCGATTGTTGAGTTTCTCAGTCCGGAGGCAGAGCACTCGCACACGGCCTACCAGAAGAATCAGCCTAGAAGACAGGCTGCCCTCTCATCCAGCGGCCCAAAGCCTGGATTTCAGAGAGCAGTGCCCTTCGTGATCTGCCACCAGCCCTACCAGATAGTTGTAAACCAGTATCAGGAATTGGGATCACTAGAGTGTTTTGCTTATTAGAATATAAAATGAATCGTCCTCTTCACAGACCTGCTGCTGGGACTGTGATCTGATAGACATCACACAAAGCTTTCTGGCACGAATCACATTTTGTGGAAGTGACTACTCAGGTTTGTATATGTTAGTATCAATAAAGAAATTGCACAGTTTTGAATAGGAAAAATGTATTCTATAGATTTACAGTTTGAATTTAGGAATATCTCAGTATATATAGTTTTAATTCATTTTAAGTGAATCATAGTAAAATAAGTCATGGTGATTTAAAATAGCTTTCAGGAATGAGTTCTTGGAAATCATTGGTCATATCTGTGATAGGAAACAATTTTACAGTATTAAATTACTTTTTTACAGTTTTAGAAGTGAATTACACTGGATTGTCCTTGTTTAGCATTCTGTATTTGATTTTAGCTGAGATGCCACCAAAGTTAGGACTCCTATGTTTTAAACTTTTGAATATCCTACAAAGAAAAAAAAAAAACTAAGGAAAAATGCCCTGAAATTAACAGATTTTTGTAAAGAATAGCATATTTTTAAGCATGCCTTCGGGATAGTAGAAAAGCCTCCATATAATATTAATCTGCTCTAGTTTCTTATAAATTCAGCGTTGTGAGGGGCCGTTAGAATCTTTCCCTCCAATTCCAGCATCCTTGATGAAACGTGGAACTATCGTGTTTCAAGTTTGCTATGCTATGCTATTTAGGATAAGAAACAAATTGGAAATATCCATGTTATACAGATGGAACACAAGACACCAGCTCCAGTGTAAAGAAAATTCATACAAATAAGGGAATGCTTATTGACCTGGCGTTGTGGCTTATGGCTCAGGCAGGATTGAGAGTTGTGTAGGAACACAGGAGCCTTTAAGATACGGTGCACAAAAATACAAATTCTTTTTCTCTAATAGACTCCAGTTTTAAATTTGGTGTGCTTTTAAGTGGAATGAGTTTTGAGGCTGTGTTCTCATTTGGTCCTGATTCTGATTAGAAAGCTGTCACTGGCATGATCTGGTTTGGAAGAGTGAAGACGTCCGCGCTGTCCCTGTAGGAAGAACAGATCTGATGATTGAGCTCTTGAGCTAGTGTAAGTTAACATGGCCGATGCATTACTCCTTCTGTTTTTGTGTCTGTGTAGAAGCAGGGAGGAGAGAAAGACCACCTGGCCTTGACAGCTGGCTCGGGTCTAGTTAGAGCTGGTCTAGACCCAGAGCGCTCTGCCACTGACAGCCTTTCTCTTCTCACGTGAAAGTCAGTGTGAGTGACAGGCCTTTGCTGCCTGACTCGGAGCACAGTGGCCACAGGGTCTGTTCCCCTGGCACTGAGGTTGGAGGTATTGCTTTGTGCTGAATGGCCCTGGGGCGTGTGTAGGAGTGGACCATAAGCAATGGTTGGGCTGATCTGTGCCCTTTCTCCTTCCACCCTGCGTGAGTAACCTTTTCTCCTCGCTCTCCCAGCCCCTACCCCCTATTACCTGTTGCTAGAGAAAAGCTGTGAACAATATAGGAAGAAATCAAATGTAGAGAAGTGAGAAAATGTTAAGGAAGAACAGTATCAAGGACTGAACTACTGTATCATCTCCTAACACTGGGAACAAGGGCAACAGCAGACTCGGCAGCCTTGTTGCGTCCCATGTGGGAACTGAGTCGTGCATTAACAGCCCTTGTCTGCTATCTCCTGAGCTTTTACTGGTCTTTGAAGCCCAGATCTGCTATAAGCAGTCAGGAGCTGCAAGAGAACACATGTGACCGTTGAGCTGCTTGATGGCTGATCGCTCTGCCCCCAAGCACGACCTTTTCTTCTCTCCTGTTTTTCTCCTCTGGCACTTCTCTTCCCACGTGTCTTAAGCAGATGCACATGCATTTGCCCTCTTGTCCATGAGGGGATGGTGGTGTGTGATATGTTAAAACTAGAAAGTCGTGCGTGAGGAGGTCCTCAAAATGATCTGCTGTCGGGCTAGGAGGACTCTCCCACAGTGTCTGTGGGCCGGCTCTTGGGAGTCCCTAGGAGGGGGTAGCTGGGCTCCACGGGGAATGAGGAAACTCACACTGGTTGGATTGAACAGTCCTGGCTAGCCTTTATTAGAGTTGTTAGTAAGTTAGGATCTTTTTTCCCTAAGACCCAGGAGAAATAAACAACCCAGAAAGAAAAGTAAAGCTTTTTGGAAGGTTTCTGGTTTGGGTTTGTTGTTTGTTTTTTCCCTCAGAGTCTGTTCTTTTAAAAAGTAGCTGTTGGCGGAAATTTATTATGGTAGATGCATGTGAAGAGTAAGTAAGGGCAAAATGTGCAGATTCTTGTTCATATAACTTCTTCCATCCTACCTTCTAAAAATAAAATTAAAGCCACTCCGCCTCTCCTTAATCACGTTCGTTTGGGTTCGGGCAGTGCACATGAGCTGCTGCTTCACGATTCTTTTATTCTTAGTGAGCCCAAGTGAGACTGCTCTCAAGAGGCAAAACTCTGTCATGCTCGTCTTCTGAAAACGTGAAGACCTGTAGGGTGTGTGTGCACCTTAGTTCACTCAGACCCCAGCTTTCAGTGTCGATTCACTGTGGCCTAGTGCTCAGACCTTGAAGATGCTTCTCGTGACCATTAGGTGTCGTTACCCCATGGCATTTGTCTGCTGTATTATTATTTATGGTAATTCCTACTGGAGTCAAAGAGGATGCTAAGTGCTGTCCAAAACACACAAAATCCCAGTGTTACAGTCATCACAGATGTCAGAAACAAGCTCTCAATCCATACGACTTGGTTGAATTTTTCTTCCCTTTTTGAAATTCAGATTTATAAATAATATACTGCTCTTAAACCCCAAACTGAAATTTCACAGCAAGTCTTAACCCAGCAGTCCCAAGGCAAGGGCAGTTACATAGTGTCAGAATGCTTTCAAAGAAATGAAAGGCTTAGAGTTTTCTAGCATTATTGCTACCTGCCCCCACCCACCTGTGACTGTCAGTCCATTCACCCCTGCCAGATTCTGAATGGACCTCCAGTGAGGAAGTCAGCTCCGTGTGTGTGTGAGTCAAGGACTCTTAAACCTCCGGAGTTTCTGGAATGCAGTGTCCTGGCTAATAGTTTTCTGTTCAACATTCTGGTGAGAATACTGGGAATTTTGGTTGAGCATGAAGAGGCTTTTATTCCTGGGCTCACATCACAGTCTAGGAACTAAGAATGTGATTGAGATTTGCTGCATGAGAAGAAACCGCTTTTCCTTTTTTGGTGGGTTGGACTTTCTCTGTAATATGGAGCCTTAGGACACCAAGCCTTGCCCTGTTTTTCATTTAGGAAAACAACCTGAGTGAACATTTTTGCATCCCATCTCTCATATGAAGCTGTGACACAAGCTTTGTCTCCAGGTTGGATGTTTATCTGTCTCTGCTTTGTAGGCCTTTGCTAACCAGAAATTTAGAGGGGCTGTCCCCCCAGCTAGTCTTTGTCTCTCACTGTGTACCAGGGGACTGACTGACTGAACTTTTATGTAGAAATGCCTAATAACCAACTGATTGTCCTGCATGTGTTTTTGAAAAGGGTGGGATGGGGTTGGGAACAAGGGGTGTGGATATTGAGTAAGTTATTGAAATGCTGAACCCCGTTCAGTATCCTTCGTGTGACCCCTTTTCCCCAGCTGGGACTCGGGTACCTCACTCTCCTGCCTTGCACACAGCTCCTGGGAGCCCAGGCCAGTCTCCACCAGCCTGCGGCACACAGTGTCAGGGATTCTTTGCTCCTGCTGCAAAAGCCGTGTGAACTTTCCTGGCCAGTACTGGAAAGGGGAATGCTATTTATTTTTATATTGTGTATATTTTGTCGTGGTCTGCTGATTCCCTGTTTCACTGAGAGCGACACTTACCTCAATAGTTAGTTCGATATTGTGTGTTGGATAATTTTTTAAAAGAACTTTTTAAAAAGCTTTTTGATCCTCAGAGGTCTGTAGATTTATTTCCATATGAACTGGTTATTTTGTATAAAGTACATTCTTAAAATAGCAAGGCTCTGATGTGTGTGAGTTGTGTGTGTCCACGTGTCACTTTTATCATCGGGACAGAGGTTTGAACTAGGCCCCAGCCTGTCTCACCTGGCTTCCTCAAGGTGGGTGGGTGGTGTAGGGGCAGGCAGCGGGAGCGTGCCCTGTGCAGGCGATGATGGAGTGTGCTCTATGGAGAACTTCAGAACAGTGCTAAAACTGGCCATTCCACACAGTGTCAGGGATAAAGTACTCCCCAGCTGGCCCACTCCCAGTACGACCCACACACCCCTAGCCCTTGGTACACACCTTTAACACACTTGTATATACTACTTTTGCTCTCCTTCCAAAATCTAGGATGGACTACGGTCCAGGAGGTAAAGAATTCAGCTTATAATGAGGGGACACCAGGCAGCTGGAGCCTGGGTCCATGAGTGAATTACAAGTGGTCAGGAGTGGGAGCTACAAGGCTAGGTAAGCAGCTACTTTGTACCTGCCCAATTTATTTAGTTTTTATTTCCAGTTCCTAGGAGGGTTTTTGTTACAGGGGGAAAAAAAGAATAGATAAAGTGACCATCTTGGGGCATCTGACTGGCTCAGTCATGGAACATGTGACTCTTGATCTTGGGGTAGTGAGTTTGAGCCCCACTTCGGGTGGTAGAGCTTACTTGGGGGAAAAAAAAAAAAGAAAGTAGCCATCTTATTATCAGTTGGTTGTAGTTCCAAGACACCAAAATTTCTGGTCTTTTTGATGCTTAATTGGCCTTGTGAAGGTAATCTCCTTCTGGAAAAATTCTACCCCAAATAGTACCAATTTCCAAATCTGTGTTCACTCAGGTTTATCACTTTCTAGAGCAGTGACAGATCCCTTTTGACCTCCGATTGTGTGGTGTTAGATTGTCCCTATTTTTTTTTTTTTTTTTAAGATTTATTTATTTGAAGGGCGCCTGGATGGCTTAGTCGTTAAGCGTCTGCCTTCGGCTCAGGTCATGATCCCAGGGTCCTGGGATCGAGCCCCACATCGGGCTCCCTGCTCAGCGGGAAGCCTGCTTCTCCCTCTCCCACTCCCCCTGCTTGTGTTCCCTCTCTCGCTGTGTCTCTCTTTGTCAAATAAATAAATAAAATCTTTAAAAAAATAATTATAAAAAAATAGTAAAGATTTATTTATTTGAGAGAGAGAGCCGACAACTGGGGGAAGGGGCAGAGGGAGAGGGAGAGAAAGAACCTCAAGCAGACTCCCCGTGAGATCATGACCTGAGCCGAAATCAGAGTCAGACGCTTCACCGACTGAGCCACCCAGGCGCCCCTAAATTGTCCCTGTTGATATATTATTATTGACTAATATGTTTATTAAAAAATCAACTTTAGGGTGCCTGGGTGGCTCAGTTGGTTAAGCGACTGCCTTCAGCTCAGGTCATGATCTTGGAGTCCCGGGGTCGAGTCCCACATCGGGCTCCCTGCTCAGCAGGGAGTCTGCTTCTCCCTCTGACCCTCCTCCCTCTCGTGCTCTCTCTCATTCTCTCTCTCGCAAATAAAAAAAAAAATCAACTTTAAGTGAAAATCATTCGTAAACCCCAGATTTGACGGGATGCTGGTTAGATGGTGTTTCAGTGTCTCCTCCTGCACTGGAGGGGCAGTGGCCGGTGGGCCACTGCTCTGTCCTGGTTCTCTTCGTTGTCATGCCAGTTGTGACGCCGGCCTGGTCAGCATCAGCTCTACCCACAGTGCATATTAGTATCACATCCTTAAAATGCATGAAAAAATTGATTTCGGGCGCCTGGGTGGCTCAGTTGGTTAAGCAACTGCCTTCGGCTCAGGTCATGATCCTGGAGTCCCGGGATCGAGTCCCGCATCGGGCTTCCTGCTCAGCAAGGAGTCTGCTTCTCCCTCTGACCCTCCTCTCTCATGCTCTCTGTCTCTCATTCTCTCTCTCTCTCAAAATAAAAATAAAATCTTTAAAAAAAAAAAAAAGAAAAAATTGATTTCTGACTTCTGGATTCCCAGCTGCAACCATTCCTACTGTGACATGAAAGCCAACATTTTTTAACTGTTTCAGCTAATGATAGGGTTTGATTTATTTTGTAATAGGCACTTAGGTCTTAGCTGAGTGCCCTTTAGGGTGTTCCCAAATTTATCTCCTTGGGACCAAAACAAAGTATCTTGCACAGATCAGTTCTGTTCCAGAACTTGGTACAGTGGGGCAGTGTTAATCCAGCTCTATTTTTGGAGCTAGTATTTGACATTAACACTTGTTAAGCCCCATGGGTAACAGTTTACACAACAATCCCCCTACTCGGTGAGCCACTTGCTTCAAATTGGAGCATGAAAAGAAAGCTGGCAGGGAAAGATTTAGGGAAAAGGAAGGAAGTCACAAATTGCCAATGAGGATTAGTCTCAAAACTGTGGAACTCTCCTTTTTGACTTTTGGAAACATCCGTAGTTCTTCTCTTTTTAAATGTTAATGTCTTCTGTCTCTAAACCAATTCCTGTCATTGAGGAAGGAAAGGGATCTTAATTTTATAAACAAGTAGCCCCTCTAGGGGTTCAGTTTTGCCGTAATCTACATTCTCTTGAGAGTGGTATTAACAGAACTGAGAAAATAACCCAGGGTTGGGCTCTTTCGGAGGTCGACCTTCACCCTGTAATCTTCCTGGAGAGGTGAATGGCCTGTGTCATTAAATTGTTATGCAAGGGTTGCCTTTGGAAGAAATGCCATTGGACCTTTGCTCTGGGGGTGCTGGATTCTAGGCCAACTGGAAATGAGGCTTGGGTTCTTTGTAGATGGGCCCTGCAGATCTGTTTCCCTGGCCTCATGGTTTTCCCTTGGGTTTTTTAATGGAGAACATCTGTGTATCTGTTTTAGTCCCCTTTCTGCTACCAATGCTCACTCCTCTAGTTTCCTTGGGTAGTTCTAGCAAAAACCTCAGTGTGAAGTACTAGCCAACAAGGCAGCTGGAAAATCCCCAGATTTGACTATTGTGTGCTGAAATCCCAACCCCTTCTGCTTCCATGACCTGCATATAAATTCAGATCCCCTCGAGAAGTCGTCAGGTTTGGAAAAGCACTACTTGCTCCTAGAATCTTGGATTTGAACCTCATCCTGGACAGTGAATGACAAGGAAGGAGTAGCTCTATTCTAGCCAGTTAAACGCTAAATAGAATTTTTAAAGCAGTGGAGTCAGTTCCTTGGATTGGATTCAAGGTTTTTGCATTGGGGAGGAATTGAGTCTGTAGTAGGAAGGGGCAGAGACATTCAGCTGAAGCCTGGCCTGTGTGTGCCCCAAGAACTAAGATGAAGATTGACTGACTCACACTGAAGTTCTCAGTAAGTATTAAATACCTTAGCTGTGTGCCTAGTTAATCTTGCCTAATTACTAACAGTGGAAAAGAGGAAAAAATAGCTGCTTCTGCTCAGAGTTCATAGTAAAGGGAGAAAATACAGAAAAATTGGACTACAGTAAAGTGTTAGAAAGAAGACACTGCTTAAAGTAATAGAAAGGTATTTTTCTTCCCTCCGTGCAATATAGTCACTGCGGGAGGGCGGGGTACTGTCAGCCATGATTTGGACAGGCCCGCCGGCATCTCATCCACTGGGGCCTACAGTCCCCTAGCTCGTTCCATTCAGCAGTCTCTCTGCCTGGTCTTCTCTTGAGTCCTTGTTGCAGCTTGAATTCCTCTCTTCCCTTCCCCCCTCGTTCTGCTCCCATAAGGTTATACTACACTGATGAAGACAAGGCAGACTACCACCAGTCCTTCTCTCCTGTGTGGTGCTAAGAGGACGTCCCTAAAGACCACATAGGTCTATGGAAATGAGTGTGTTTGGGGCCTGGCCCCACTACCTCAGCCTTCCTTAGTGAGTCTCATCTGTCTTCCTGTGAGCACATAATCTGTTGTGCTGGTTCTGAGGGTAGACTCTGAACAACCAGCATCACCTGGGAATTTGTTAGAAATGCCAGTTCTGGGCACCTGGGTGGCTCAGTTGGTTGGGCGACTGCCTTCAGCTCGGGTCATGATCCTGGAGTCCTGGGATCGAGTTCCGCATCTTTCTCTTTGCTCAGCAGGGAGCCTGCTTCTCCCTCTGACCCTCCTCCCTCTCATGTGCTCTATCATTCTCTCTTTCTCAATAAATAAATAAAAATCCTTAAAAAAAAAGAAATGCCAGTTCTGGCTTACTGACGCTGACTGAGGGTGGGTCTGGGCAGTCTGTGTAAGTAGCCCTCTGGGGGGGTTGATACAAACTGAAGTTTGAAAACACTGACCTATAGGAACAGCCCTGGTGTTTACACTTCCATCCTTATCCACTCCTCATCTGAGCAGGCTATCTCATTGATCCCACACCCTGCTGGTTTACATGGATAAAGGTTATGGATGTTCCTCTAATCCAAGCCCAGGGAAGGACTGTAGAACAATAATGGCTGCAAACGGGCGCCTGGGTGGCTCAGTTGGTTAAGCGACTGCCTTCGGCTCAGGTCATGATCCTGGAGTCCCGGGATCGAGTCCCACATCGGGCTCCCTGCTCAGCAGGGGGTCTGCTTCTCCCTCTGCCCTCTTCCCTCTCGTGCTCTCTGTCTCTCATTCTCTCTCTCTCAAATAAATAAATAAAATCTTTAAAAAAAAAAAAAGAATGGCTGCAAACTTGAGAAATTCCCTCATTGCCCACCCAGGCCCCATCCCGGCCCTGCCCTCCGTGACACCTGGCCTCTCTTCCCCCACATTCCTCCATCAGACCTCACTCCCAGTGTCTGCATCCTCTGTCTCATCTTCTGCAGCGTTGGGTGTTTGGGGGCGATCCAAACCTAACTGACCACTGCAGCCATCAGTCATGTCAAGACCCTCCAAGCTTTTTTTTTTAAGATTTTATTTATTTGACAGAGACACAGCAAGAGAGGGAACATAGCAGGGAGTGGGAGAGGGAGAAGCAGGCTTCCTGCTGAGCAGGGAGCCCAGAACCCTGGGATCATGACCTGAGCCCAAGGCAGATGCTTAACGACTGAGCCACCCAGGCGCCCCAAGACCCTTCCCGCTTTTAAACATCTCCTGTATATTCCCTGTGACCTCTCCCACACCTGCTGTTGTGACTTATTCAACAAATTTTAGTGAGTTTATGTTTGGCTTTGCAATGCTCTTAACCAATGGTGGACAATCCAGGCTGCCCATTTAGGGATTTAAAAACCTGGGCCATTGGGGCGCCTGGCTGGCTCAGTTGGTGGAGCATGCAACTCTTGATCTCTGAGTTGTGAGTTCAAGCCCTACACTGGGTGTAGAGATTACTTAAAATCTTTCAAACAAAACCAAGACAAAACAAAACACCTGGGCTTTAAAAAAATAAAATTAGATGCTTGAACACTACCCCAGAGAGTTTTTCATTGGTCTGGGGTGCAGCCTGGGCATCAGAATTTTTCAAAGCTTTCCTGGTAATTCTGTGGTGCAGTCAACATTGTAAACCACTCTCGGGGCGCCTGGTTGGCCTGAGTAGGTTAAGCAGCTGCCTTCGGCTCAGGTCATGATCCCTGAGTCCTGGGATCAAGTCCCCATCAGGGAGCCTGCTTCTCTCTGCCCGCTGCTCCTCCCCCTGCTCGTGCTCTCTTTCTTTCTCTCTCTCTCACTCTATCTCAAAGTCTTTGAAAAAAAAAAAAAAAAAAAACATTGTAAAGCACTCTGCAAAACCAGTGGCTTGCAGACTTTAACACCTGGAGAATCTTTTTTTTTTTTTTTTTTTTTTTTTTTTTTTTTAAAGATTTTATTTATTTATTCATGAGAGACAGAGAGAGAGAGAGAGAGGCAGAGGGAGAAGCAGGCTCCCAAGGAGCAGGGAGCCTGATGTGGGACTCGATCCCAGTACCCTGGGATCATGACCTGAGCCGAAGGCAGACGCTTAACCATCTGAGCCACCCAGGCGCCCCAACACCTGGAGAATCTTATTAAGATCAGATTCTGGTTCACTAGGCCTGGGCTGGGTCCCGCGATTCTGCGTGTTTAACAAGCTTGCTGCTGTTTGAGAGCCTCAAAGAGACCTCAAACCCGTCCTTGCTTTCCAACACTAATAACTGACCTTGTTATTTAAAGAGGGAGACCATCTCACATGGTACTCTAACTTTGTGCTTTTCCAGATCTTCACTTTTGTTCTTTCCTGCCAGTCATGTCCCCTCACCAAAGCTGATTTGCCCTTGTGCTTTGCATCCAGCCTCTCCTATCTGCATCCCGACCGCATGCCATCAGTTAGTCTCTCCTCCTTTCTTCCCTCCCTATAAATGTTCCAGTTTCCTCTACTTAAATATCACCTATTTATTTCTCTTTACCTTCATCCAGACTTTTTTTTTTTTTTTTTTTTTTTAGATTTTGTCAGAGAGCACAAGCAGGGGGAGCGGCAGAGGGAGAGGGAGCCCGATGTGGGGCTCCATCCCAGGACCCTGGGATCATGACCTGAACCGAAGGCAGATACTTAACAACTGAGCCACCCAGGTGTCCCTTTAAGTTTATTTTTTTAGTAGTATCTACACCCAACATGGGGCTCAAACTCACGACCCCAAAATCAAGGGTTGCATGCTGGTCTGAGCCAGCCAGTCACCCCATACCTTCATCCAAACTCTTTACCAATAGAACCTGGCATTTTTGTCTGCTGCAATGTGGCTTCCTCCCCACATTTCTACAACTACCGACTTAGTTACAAAGCCTCCGCCAGATCCCTTTCACAGCTCTTAAATCCTTTGCATGGCCTCAGCCCCCTTGGAACTGGTTCTCACTGGTGCCATGACCCACGTTCACCCAGGTCTCCACAGCCTGCCCTCCCAGTTACCTTTTCTCCCTTCGAATAGCTGTGCTCTTCCTAAGACTTGCCCCCTTTTTCCTCTTCATACACCTTTCTCTAGATGGTTATTATCGTCACCTGCAACTTTACTTGTCCTTCTATGCAGTTGACGTCCATCTTTAAGTTGGACTTTTTGCCATGCTCTGGTCACCCTTTCCAAGTTCCTATTGGACATGGACACCATGTGTCCCTGCTGCCATTGTTCCAGGATTTTTATTTGCCACTGTTTTAAATTTTTTACCAGAATGATTGGCAATTTCATTTCCTACACCTTGCTTATTTTTAACACCCTTTCTTAGCCATTTTATTATAACAAACATTACAACTGACATATTTCCCTGTCCCTCCAATGTCATCCATTTATGTTGAAGTGTAATATCCTGGCTTCATGGCTCATCTCTCTTCCTTTTTATCGTGACAAAATACACACATACTATTTTAACCATTTTAAAGTGTACGCTTCAGTTGCATTAAGTACATTCACATCATTATGCAACCATTACTACTGTCCATCTCTGGAACTTTTTTATCCCATGGTGAAGATCTATTCCCATTAAACTAATTCCCTACCTCCCTTCTCCCCCAACCTCTGGTAACCACTTTTCTTTCTGTGTCTATGAATTTAAATGTTCTAGGTACCTCAGATAAGTAGAATCACACAATATTTGTCCTTCTTTGGCTTATTTCACTTAGCGTGTTTTCAGGGTTCATCCATGTTGTAGCATGTAGCAGAATTTTATTCCTTTTTGAGACTAAAGAACATTCCATTGTGTGTATAGACCACATTTTGTTTATCCATTCATCCATCAGAGGACATTTGGGTTGTTTCCCTTTTTGGCTATTGTGAGTAATGAATGTTGCAATGGACATGAGTGTGCAGATAATGTGTTTGAGGCACTGCTTTCAATTCTGTGTGGATACCCAGAAATGGAATTGCTGAATCATACAGTAATTCTGTTTTTAACTTGTTGAGGAACTGCCTTACCAATTTCCACAGCCACTGCCCCATTTTACATTCCCATCAGTGATGCTCAAGAGTTCCAATTTCGCCACATCCTCACCCTCACATGTTTTCTCTGTTTTGATAGTATCACCCTAGCAGGTGTGAAGTGGGAGCACTCTTTCTTGTACACCTCGCCATCCCGTTTTGTGGCTGCCACTTTAAACTCAATAGCCAGCCAAACTTTTCTTCTCCATTCTCTCCTTACCTGTCCACTTCTGATATTCCTAGTTGTGGTGATAATATATCTTTTCCTGCTGATCCATGTTTCAAGCCATATTTGTCTCTGGCATGTTTAATCGACTGCCAAGCCCTATCAGTTCTTCACAGAAATCACATCTCTTCCCTCCTGTATGCAGTTTCTCATTTTATTTCTTGCCTGGATTATTGTAATCTCCCAACCTGTCCAAACCCCTTTGTGCTGCGATAAACCTGAACCGTCTGCTATGGGCCCCTACTCCATGTCCTATATCAGCTTTCCATTGCCCACCAGGAAAAGGGAGGGTGGAAAAGTTATCATTTAGTGAACACCTTTTATGTGCCACACACTAAGTGCTAAATGTACTAAATGCTCTACATCTAAGTTTCGAGTCTCATTTCACAGATGACGCAGGCACAGAGAAGTAATTTGTTTAAGGTCACGCAGCGAGTAAGTAGTAACCTGGAATTCAAACCAGTTCAAAGGCAGCCTTACTCCAAAGCCGATTCTTAACCACTCTGCTCTACTGCCTCATAGCAGTCCTATGAAGTGGCTATCTCCATCCCCCTTCGATGAAGAATGGCACTAAGTTAAATAACTTGCCTAAAGTGAGGTAGTTATTAACTTGGAAGCTGGAATTTGAACCTGGGTCTCTGACATCAAAGTCTGTCCCATGCTGATTCTTCATCTCCCAAATCCTTGGCCAGACAAAAAGGTCCTCTACCTTTGGGACCCAACATGTTACCAGCTTTATTCTCTCCACGACTGCCTCATCCCTTGCCCCAAATTAGACAATTTGCCACTGAAGAGAAGCCAGGTTTAATTTTAACTGCTCTTGGTTGTCAAGTCGAAAACCAGTGACTACTTCCTGAAATCTTTCCAGCTGTCTAGGCTGGAAGAACTCAGCTGCAGCCCTGAGCTCCTGGCTCAGCTGTAACAGCTGTGAGGGCAGGGAATGTGCCCCATCAACACTGCCGCCCCCCGCAGCGGAGCACGTGGTAGACCACTGAAAATACAGAATCACTGGAACAGGCAATCAATCACCTGCAACCACAAAAGTGGGGGAGTCTGAAAAGCAGAGGTTAGCTTCTGGCCCCAAAAGTCTGGCAGAAGTGTTTGCATTGCATCGATTTTCCATTGTTTGTCCTCCTCCCAGACTTCGAGGTCTCTGAGTGGGTGGAATCTCCCCTGACCCCCACCCCCAGGCTGCCTGAACAAAGCCTTTTCCAGCCTGAAGTTTTGTCCCAGTCATACAACAGCCAAGTAAACAGCCACCTGCTTGCCACCTGGGGAGGTAGGACTGGGCTTGGCTAGGCTGCATAGTGGCCTCTGGGGTTACATTCAAACCCAATCTACAGGTGTGGGAGGTGGGAGAGGGGCTGGGGACTGGAGTAGAGGAGGATGGCTTCATGACCACCTGCCCTCCTCTCCTGCCCGAGGTGAAAGGGCTGTGTGGGCATGAGGAGGGAGCGCCAATAACAAAAGAGGAATGTAAGCCAACCCTTCCTGCAGTTCAGCAGTGATCTGGCCTGTATCTTGGCATCCAGAAAAAGCAGAAGGTTCCTTACTGAAAGCAGGTAAGTGTTTGTCTTGTCTGTATCAAGCTTAGAGTTGGTAGGGAAAGATCCACTTCTAGCAAATAAACAGTTGGGAAAGCGGTCAGAGCAGCCAGTGGGAAAGGGTCTTGTTTCATTTGCTACACAGAGTAGGAAGGAGGTGGGCAAGAGGAAGTGGCCACCCCCTAACAATAGGACATCCCAGGCAACATCTAAGTCAGGAGGCATTTTCTTGGCACTGCTAGTGTAAGGGGCTTACCTCTGAGGAACTCTCACTTGCCCTGCTAATTAGAGGAGGTAGAGAGAGAATGGTCCTCTTCCTTGAGTGTCTCCTCACAATGTGAAGAAATGAGAGCAACTGAAGAGCAGAACTGAATGTCTCATGACAAGATTGGCTGCAAAGTTAAAGGCGATGGTCCCCCTCGTGGTTCATGGATTCCAGCATCTCTATTGAATGCCTCTGCACCAAGCTCCAGGGGTAAAACCCTAAGACTGCCTTGCCTCTCCCAGTAACTTAATCATTCTGATTGGAGGTGGAGTCCAGTAGACAAACCACTGTAATACAATGTAGTACGTGCTATAACTGGGTATTAAATGGGATCATAGAAGAGGACTCCTAGCCAAGATTTGAGGGACTTAAGAGGGACTTGTGTGAGAAGCTGAAGCCCAAAAACAACTTGTAATTCATCAGGTAGATATGAGGAAAAATTGTCCTAGTCAACAGGACAGTATGTGGAAGGCTCAGACGTAAGAGACTATGATGTGTTCTGGGAAGGGAGAGTTCCCAATGGCTGGCAGGGAGAGTAGTTGGAGGGGTGATTTGGAAGACACAGTCAAGCAGGAAGGTAGAGGGTCCAGGTCAAGGTTGGGAAACTGTCCTAAGAGTGCTGGGAAGTTAGCAGTGCACTATAGGCGGGGAAGTGCTTAAATGGCAGGCTGGCAACTGGGACCAGACTTGCCCTTTTGCTTGCTTACTTGGCCATGTTTGCTTGTTGTTGTTTTTAACACTTTATTATTTGACAGAGAGCACAAGCAGGAGGAGTGGCAGGCAGAGGGAGAAGCAGACTCCCCACTTAGCAGGGACGCTGGGATCACGATCTGAGCTGAAGGCATCTGCTTAACCGACTAAGCCACCCAGGTGCCGCTTACTTGGCCGTATTTGTGGAGCTTGGATTTGAGGGAAGCAAGGCTGAAGGCAGGGGGCAGAGTGGAGAGGCTGTTGGGTGCTCCAGGCAGTGAGTGACACCCATGGGATAAGCAGTGGCTGGTGGGCCCACGAGAAACTTAGGATAGCTTTTTTCTACCCATGATCAAAGTCCTGTTTACCCCTGTCCATTATGGACAAATAATTTTGTAAAATGCAGTAAAGATGAATTGCTAGAAAAATAGAATTTTTTTTAAATGATAAAATAGGGGCGCCTGGGTGGCTCAGATGGTTAAGCGTCTGCCTTCGGCTCAGGTCATGATCCCGGGGTCCTGGGATCGAGCCCCGCATCGGGCTCCTGGCTCAGTGGGGAGCCTGCTTCTCCCTCTCCCCCTGCTCATGCTCTCTCTCTCTCTCTCTGTATCTCTGTGTCTCAAATGAATAAATAAAATCTTTTTTTTTTTTTTAAGATTTTATTTATTTATTTGACAGAGAGAGACACAGCGAGAGAGGGAACACAAGCAGGGGGAGTGGGAGAGGGAGAAGCAGGGAGCCCGATGCGGGGCTCGATCCCAGGACCCTGGGACCATGACCTGAGCCGAAGGCAGACGCTTAATGACTGAGCCACCCAGGCGCCCCTAAATAAAATCTTTAAAAAAATAAAAAATAAAATGATAAAGCTCACATTTTTCTTAGTACATCCTAAAATATGGAATTCCTTGAGATACCATAAAAATTTCTAAGCCTTTACTCTCAATTTCTGTACTTGTCACAGACCAGCACTGAACCAACACCCTGAGTAGCACCATTTTAGGAGGAAAAACTGCCAGAACACGGTGACTGATTAGTGGTGGGGGAATAAGAGGAAAAGGAGGAATCAAAGATGGCACACGTATGTGGCCTGGATAATTGAATCGCTGATGGTGCAGCTTTCAGACCTAGGGAACCGGGAGGAGGAACAGCAGGCCTAGACGGGTGGACACAAGTAAAAAGAGGTATTACTGTACTGGGTGAGGCCAGGCTGCTAAGACGGGGACAGCCCAGGAGCTGGTTAAGATGATGGTGAGGGGCTCAGGGCAGAGAGCCTGAACTGCAAGTCCATTAGTCATGAGCAAGTAGACAATGACCGAAGCCCAGGAGGAAATGGACTTTCAGGACGGCTGTGTGGAATGGAAGGAGTTGAGAACCTTGGCAGGACCCTGTGGTCACCAGTGAGCAAGGACACTGGTCCTGGGAGGCTAGGGAGCCACTGGGGAGAGCCAAGGAGCCCACAGAAGTCAAGATAATAGAATGTTTTAATGTGGGACAAATGAAAAGCCGTGTAATCAGAAGCTCAGAGAACGTTGGCCTGCTCTGGTCCCTGCAGCTCACTACCTAAAATCATCTCTCTGAAAGATGTGTCTCTGGACAGCCTCATTCAAAATATGATCCTGGGAAACAATGTAGTAAGAATTACTTTAGGGGCACCTGCCTGGCTCAGTCGGTATAGCATGCAATTCTTGATCTCGGGGTCTTGAGTTCAAGCCCCATGTTGGGTGTAGAGCTTACTTTTTAAAAAAATTACCTTAGAGTTTTCTGTGCTTTCCAAATTTTCTAATTTTTTTTAGTACTTTAAATACCTTAAGAAATAGAACAATGGTTCATTATTAACAAAAAAGAACTGATCACCGCCTAAGCATCTGTTAATTAGCTATCTCCTAGGGAAGCACACAGGATGGGTCACAATTTTGCTGTTAGGCGCAGGACCCCTGGATGAGACAGGGTAAGGTAGGCCGGCAGGGCCCTGCCACAGGGACTCCCTCCTAGCCCCACCAGGACCTCTTGCCTAGGACCGTCCTTAGCCAGCTTCTTTTTTGTGAAACAGAGCCTGCAGTAGGGTGAGGAAGGGACAAACCACCCCATTGTGTATACACACACACACACACACACGCAGAGCAGAGATGCTCCTGGAAATTGGGCATCTAAGGAGTCAAAAGACTAGCCTGGTGTCACTCACTAGCAGAACGGTGTCCTCCCTGCCAAGTGAGGGGTGCCTTCTCACCCACTTCCCACAGAGCTGGAGGGCACAGTTCCCAGAGTCTTGGCTTCTCTCCAAGTGCCTCTCCCTCCCTCTGGGCAGCTTCCTCTCCTAGCCTGTCTTTCAGTTCCTCGGAGCCTCAGGTTTCAGGCCTCCCCCAGCTCCGTGGTTCTTCAGCCCTGGACAGTTGCCACGTCCAGGCCCTTTTTTCTTTAAAAAGTTCTCTTCCAGGGGTGCCTGGGTGGCTCAGCGTCTGCCTTCGGCTCAGGTCATGATACTTGGGGTCCTGGGATCGAGCCCGGAATCCAGCTCCCTGATCAGCAGGGAGTCTGCTTCTCCCTCTCCCTCTGCTCCCCTGCTCCTGCTCTCACTCGCTCTATGTCAAATAAATAAGTAAAATCTTAAAAAAAAAAAAAAAAGTTCTCTCCCAGCTATCCCTTTTCCTCTGTACCCTCCACCACCCTAATCCTTTTCTCTCGACTTCATTGCTTTGCCATGATGCCACCTAACTGGTCTCTCAGGGGAAATTTCCTTTTCTCAACCCATTCTTCCTGAATTATTTTCCTCATACAACATTCGACATGGTAGTTTGCCCCTTAAAAGCATTCATTGTTTTCTTACTACATATAGGATCAAATTTGTGAAAAGTTACTTAATTTGGGGCGCACAAACTGTATTGGGGAAGTCCAGGGTTCTCCACACCTGGCCTAACCTACTTTTGCAGCCCTTTTCCACCGTTCTGGTGAGCCAGCCAGGGCAGTGAGCTGTCCCTCAGCCCTTTGCTTGGCCCCTGTGCTCACAAAGTTTTCGCATCCAGGCCACCTCCCCTTCCTCTTCTCCTTATAAACTTGCCCTTATTTTTTAAGGCCACGTCTAGATCCCTCTCCAAGCCAGCCCAGAGTGACCTTGCACAACTCTGAAGGCTTACGGTATTCACTGTCTAAGCAGCTCAACTGTAATGGAATGGAATTTGAGAGTTCTTTAAAAGTTTTGTTTATTAAAAATTCTTTGGCTACCCAATTACAAAAACTAATTCTAATTTGCTTAAGACAATAAGTCAATTCAAAACAAACAAAAAATCCCCAAAACAACAACAAAAAGACAATAGGTTAATTCATTAGAGCGATAGTGGAATATCCCTTTGGTTCCTAAGGTCAGGAAGGAAGTGGGTCACTGTAATCAGGGTTTCATACCCCACCAGAACTCTGCTCTCTCTCCTGTGGTTCTGCTTTATTCATAAATCTCTTGCTACAAAATCATCTCTCAGTTTCCCAAACTACACGACAGTAAACATGACTGCAGATAGGTCCCAAGTGCTGTATGTTACAGACAAAAACTTGAAAGAGGCTACACAATCTCTCTTCTAAAATACCTAATGAGGAGATTGAAAAACCTAGCTTAAATCAGGGGCCCATCCTCAGATAATC